GAGAACACTAATCAAATTTTAAGAACATAATTGATTAAAATATGTTCTCTATCTGAGAACATTAAATAGAATTTTTTATTATACAAATTTAATTGTTCTATATTGAGAACATTAAAAAATTTTGAGAACATTAAAGTACTTAAAAAATGTTTTCAGCGAGAACATAAAGTCAAAATTGAATTTCACACACTGGTCAGAACTTTTTCATAAATACAATGCTGACTAATGTATCCTACTTCGAGGATTGTTGCCTGTAAGAAGAACCTAAATAATCCCTTGAGAAAAACAAAAAAAAAAAAATACAATTTCGTTGCCAATAAACCAATTATTGATAATTGAAATTTGCCCAAGCACAAATGACCTAATCATGTCATACATAATGTGTGTAAAATTACTTTACCCAATTTCTGGGGAATTACTTAATAAATTTAAAATCATCCATACTCAATATATACAATTGCCCGACTTTCCGGGTCGGCAAATAGTGACTCGGGGCAAAACCGACCTAAATCATTTCGATTCGGGTTAAAAAAATTGTTTTACCGGGAATCCGGGTATTAACGGAGATCATTGACTTTCTACATCGGGAAGTTCCGTGTCAATTAAACATCCAATCAACAATGCTCATTTAGGATGGAAAATGTTTTTTATTACGTAACTAAAAAACAGGTGATGCTTATGTTCTTAAATATTTAAAATCAAATTTAACTATTTGACTTTTAATCATCACCTGTTTAAATAGGTGAAAAAGTGTTTAAAACTGTATTTTTCATCCTCATGCTCGTTTAGTTGACCCGAGTGGCCTGGAATTATAGAAATATATATTGTTAAACCAGCATGTAAGTAATGTATACCATTGTTTGTATAGATATAAGCTAAGAAAATTTATGAAAGTATGTATGTATGATTAACAAACTTATAAAATCATCTTTTATAAATTATTCCTTTTTAATCGTTAAAGTTAGGGTGAGTGCTAATATTTTCCTTTTTTCATGTTAGGATTAGTATTTTTTATAGATAAAATCTCAAAGAATTTCTTTTACGAACTATATATACCACTTAAATTGCTACTCTACATACTTTATATTAACTATACATTACATATTTGCTATACACTCCGCACAGCTTATCTGCAACATAATTCAAATATGTTTGAAATTATTTTTGTTTACTGTCCTTTGCGTTCTAGCCAAGGTCAATATAATTTTAATTATTGCTTGTCACGTGATCGGGAAATATGCTCTACGTCGTAGATCTTTAGACGACCCAATTTTTGAGAAACCAGGGCTTAAACGACTATATTGAAATGCCGGTCATTCAAAAATGCCATTCTTGATCTATAGTTTATTAGAAATTATTGGCTGGTATAGTAGGCAATAATATGTTACAATACACTAATTTTGATGAATCAAAAAAAACATAGCAGTGGCGCAGTAAATGTCCGGCAAATTAAAATAGTCGTTTAAGCCCTGATCGGAACAATCATTTTATAATCACGTACGTACGTACGCCCGTATATTATGTTATAGACATTAGAGCATGTGTATTATTTTTTTTATGTACGGTGCATATGTACGTACGTACGTACATATGGTACATATATGCATAACTGATAACAGATAAGATAAAAAAAAATACTTGAATGAATAGAGTAATTGGTATGCATCATTAGACAATTACGTTCTGTAGATGAATAAAATCGAGTAATTGATTTAAACTAAAAGTCAGATGACCAATATAAAATACTATATATCAGCCTTACCGCATCCCATTTCTGGAACTTCAAACTATCAGGGTTTGGTTATTCCGGGAAATAGGGGAAATAAGAAGAATGATTGGTAGCTATCGAATCTTAAAAGGTTATTTATACGGTTTAATGTACTTTCAAACAAAACAAATTATTAAAAAAACTGGTAATAAAAATTTGGAACGCATCTTCATAGAATTTTCCTATTTCCACCATTTTTCACGTGACTTGGGCTATATAAACATGGAAATAGAAATTTCTGTGATAGAATTGCAAAATCTGGGTCAGTAGTGATATAACACCACTATTTAAGTTAATTTTCATGTTTAAAAGTTTGGTACCGTAATAACTTCTCAAAAATAAATAAAACAAAGTCGTTACTATACTAACGTTTCTAGGTAAGAGAACACGATTATTATAATAGTAGCGTTTTTATGAATTAATAAAGTTGACTACAATATCTTTCTTCTTTAATATTGTTTTTTATAAGTAGCAATAAAATTGATAATCGATAGCAAATCATATGTTTTATCTGCCAGGATTATAACTTGTCAAAGGTTGTAAATATTGGAAACAAAAGGCTTGGTAAGCTAAACAATTTTTACACGATAAAAGTTGAATCAATATCAAATATATTGCACTGCTTTTTTATACGCAATAATATTAACCGTTACACACACATCAAAGATGTCATGATGATGTCATATATGATGACATCAATTAAACGATTATATAAAAGCATGACGGTTTAATGCTAAAAACTTCTTGACCAGATTATTTTATGAGTGTTGCCAAGTGAAAACCCGGGAATCTAAAAATAGATCGCTTATGTATTTCATAAGTGATCTATTTTTAGATTTCCTGTTTTCATTTGGCGACACACATATCATTTTGGAGTACCATTCTAGAATTTTATAGATTATTAATAATAGTTTAATAGAATTTTACAAAATTTAAATAAATTACGAGGAATATTTAGTATAATATATTAAATACGGAATTCACCGACAATTCCGTATTTTTTCATCGGTATACAAATAATGTCCAGGGAAATGATATAGAATTGAATGGAAATGACAAAATAGAATTGAATGGAAATGACAAAATAGAATTGAATGGAAATGGCAATGTAGAATTGAGTAGAAATGACAAAATAGAATTGAATGGAAGCATAGAATTGATCAAGAGCTTAACCATTTATTTATAGATTCCATATCATTTCCCTGGGGATATCCCGTATATATAATGTGGTGTTTGCGGCGAATTCCGTATTTAATTCGGCGTTATACAATACATCGTATGATTAATTTAAATTCTGTAAATTTCTATTAAATTTTGCATTACTTTATTTATAGGGAAAGGTTGCTGTTACTAGGATGATTGAACCCAAAATCAAAGCAAGATACATATTGTACGTACCGATCTTTTCTGATCATAATTATTAGGTATTCAATTTAATATATTAAAAAAAAATAATAATAAATATTTTAGGAAATCGATTTTTAGCCCTTTGCTGTATTAAATGTATTAATTAGAAATTCAAACGGCTTGACCCGATTCGTGTATTAATTATAATAAAAACCGAATAAATAATAGAACATTTTATCCCTAATTGAGCTGTGGTGAGAATTTTTTCGCGTTCCCGCGACTTAATTTTCGGCAATTATCCGTTAGTTCTGTCGTAAAGAAAATAGTCAAAGACATTTTTACAATATTATAAAAACATATTATTGTTGTGATTTACATAAAAATACGCGTATTTTAAAGTAGGTTTTGAATGAAACAAATATGTATTTATATATAGTATGTGCACTGCATATAAGCGCGCGTTTAACTTATAGACCTTATTAAGGAGGAAGAATCCATTAATTTAGACTTTTTTTTTTATTATTAAAAGTTCAAATCATTGAAATTAGAATAACATCATTGAGAAAACATTCAAAGATTGGTATGTACTATAAATATAACCGCAGTATGAGTTTCTCGTTATACAGTGATCGACAAGGTATTTTAAGTGCATACCCGAATATTTTTTGCTCTTGTAACTCCTCTATTCCTGATTATTAAGCAAGAGAGTTAAAAAAAAGTATTGTTTAAATGAAATACATTAAAAATGGGCCCAATGTGTATAATGCAGTAATTGTGATTGGCGCCTAGAATAAATAAAGTCTTGGACCGTCAGTTAATATATTGACGTGTCGTAGATCGCCAATGATTACACCAATAAAAATTGCCACATTCAAATTTTCAATTCTTTAAGCACATATTAAACACATATGCACATACATATGTATGTATGTGCATACGAATAGCAAACATAAGTACAACAATTCTAAACTTATTAGCTTAATAAATATTGAATAAAAATTCTATATACATAATTCACGCGTATTAATCAATGTCATAAATTTGGTAAAAGCTTTATAATCCATTATAGGGTAACAAGTTATTTATTTACCAAGCAGAAAAAAAATATGCATTTGTACTCTGTGATATACTATTTTCGAATGAAAATTTCATTAATGATTCTTTGCAAAAATTCCAATTTATAAATCCAAATGAAAAAGTTTCCCCAAGAAAATCTCATATCTATCGAATGATAAAATCAAATATCTCTAATTGTAAATTTTGTTTTTTTTACAAAAATTTTCTAGCTCCTTGTTCTTCTTCTCTTCACTGTTCCGGCAGTATTAGCTATTGACCTTTTTTGTTTCAACCTTTTGACATCATATGGGAGTGAAGTATTAATTATTTGGAGCATCGTATCAGGACTATTGTCCGGTATTAAATCAAAAATTCTAAATCCCGTATAATAATCATCATCTGAGCTAGTAGCCACATCCATCTCTTCGTCCTCTAAATCTCCTGTCCCAAGTTCAGACCCAGATTCTTCCGAAGAACCAATTTCAATTACATTTTTAATAACAGGTAAACAAAAGGTTTCTGAAACATAAACAATATTCAAACTTTCTTCAACAACATCAGATTGAGAATCTTTATGTTTTTGTGGTTCCCACATAGGTTTTCCCAAATCTATTTCTTCCAAATCTGACATTTCACTTCCTACTTCTATATCTAATGAGGAAGTGGGTGACAACGCATTTACATCATTATAAAATGAATGAGTGGCACGATCGAGATGAAACGCCGTTTCGTCGTTGTCGTCGTCTGGAATAGTAATAATTTCCGGCATATGAGTGCCATTTGAGCTACCAATTATTTTTTGCGTATTAATATTTTCATTTCTTTCACTCTTGTCTTCCAGATCAGAAGGATGTTCGCGGTTGATCGAAATTCTCGATGCACGTTCATTCGATTCGGCTTGAATTTCTTGACAAGAATCTTTATTATTTGTTGTTCTAATAAGTGGTGTAATTGGTTTATCAACAACCGTTTTGGCTAACAATGTTTTGTTAAAATTAGGTGTAAGGCTGGTGGAAGAAATAGCTGGAATCTTTCTGATGTTTTCTGAAATTTTAGTAGGATTACTTGGTTTTTGTGTTATATAAACGTCATCAGTCCTATATTTGGGAAACCGAGGGTTGATCACAGAGCGTTCTACTGTTGATCCATCTGGCAATTCTTCATAAACTATTAAATACATTGGTAAGGGTTGCTGCCGTCGATGTGGTTTTAAAAGGGACGTAGAACCTATTGGAATGGATTTTTGAGGTGCGGTGGACTGAGAAATTTTTAGTCGTTTATTGGATAATTCGTTAATCGGATCTTTAGATTGATTTTTGGATGACATCTTTACTAAACTGTATGTATTATAATAAAAAAAAGGTTTAAAAGAATTTTGAGTTGATAGAAGTTTAGACTTCTACTGTTTGTATGCGTATATTGCGACTAGATGGTTAGTGAACATCTATCTATCACAAAAACTTGTAAAGAATTGTAAATGATTTATATAAAATTTAAGGTTGCAAAAATTTTTGATTTGCAAAATAAACTATGCAAGCATTAAAATTTAATAAAAGACAAATATTTATCACAGGATAAAAGAAAAATAATAATATCACAAAAAGCAAGTAATTTTTACAGAAAGTTTTTATAGTTCGGAAGAAAAATGTACGTAAGGAATAAAAAACTTACTAGTTTCGATGTTTTTTATACAAGAGCAAAATATTTTCACTAAATATCAAAAGAACTAAAGACCAGTAATATGTTACTTTTTGTATAATAAGTGTTTATCTTTGTCTTTTTTCGAAGCAGCAAGCTGCCATAATATTTATCTAAGAAACTTATCAAGAAACTCTAGTTAACAAGAGTGAAAGAAACGATATTTGCGTGCCAGAGTGTGAACGTCGAGAAAGTAAAAGGGGTGAGCACCAGAAGAACATCGGATCCTATTATTTATTTATTTGTACTCATATCATCTATATTGGGTATGGACCTACAACCATAACACAATACGTAGTGGTATATTTGTATTTATGCGAATGGATGAAGAATTACAACGAATCAACCTAGAATATAAGTGTCTCCTGAATTTTTTAGCCAATAAAATCGTGAGTTGTTATTTTCGTGAGAGCCAATCATTGGTTTGTTTTCTTCTACGTCATACTACAAAATTTTAAATCACTTGACCATACTGGTATATTATTGTCTAGAATATTGAATAGCTATAAAAAAGATTCTTTTTCCATTCATTTTCAATGTAAGTTTCATAAAAATAAAATTTTGTTGGTTATCTGGATACTGAAATTTTAAAAATCTAATTTTGTAAATATTCCATCTTAATATATATAGATTAGCTTGATGTAATTCCTCTAAATAATAAATATTGAACAGTTTGTATTAAATTCAAATTCTTTTGCCTTTATTTTTTTTAAAAAATTCAATTTTTATTTTATTTATTTTATTTAATTTATCGTTTTTGTCAATAGTCTTGAAGCTCTGTTTTGAATTTATGTTACGAAGTAGACCCAAAAGGATTGCCAAAAATTGTAAACTAAACTATAAGTCGCGCCACAGGTCATGCCATAAGTCACGATACCAATGCCTTGAACGCGTTATGACAAACAATTGGGCTATTCCTAGGTATAAAAAAAAAAAAAAAAAACTTTTTCTTTCGCTTCATGTTCTAATACACATTTAGCGAGTCATAACCATTGTTATTACTCATCAGAAGCGTGACCTTTGAGTATAAGAATTTGCTTAACTAATCGTGAGGTTTTAACATTGCCCACAATGCCTATTTTTCCACAGTCATCTAGTTTCCCAAAATTGTTTTGAAAGATACATAAAATGATGCTTACATGCTTATGGTTTATAGCTTACAAAACGCAATTGATTAAGCTTATGCGCTCAATTAGACATAACCTTTCATTTCACAAATTCCATGTCAAAATTGTCCGATTTTTCTAATTCTAACCATGTCATGCTAACTTTCATTAACATAATTCAGAAAAATGCTAACTTTCATTAACATAATTCAGAAAAATGCTAACTTTCATTAACATAATTCAGAAAAATCAAGTCTAGATCTCAATCTATATAGGAATCTTTAATTTTGAGTTGCAATTCAAGGTAAAATTTTCGTATTAACATAGGTACTTTGCTGAAACTGCCAATTTAGCAACTTCAGAACTATTTTAAATTAACTATAAAGTAGCTAGATAGTTACTTTATAGTACCATTTACTATACGTTAGCAATACGCTTGCTACTACCTACTATTATTTTACTACTATAATTTTATTACAATTTACAAAAAATCGAAATTTAATTTTAAAATTTTTTGTGATAGTAAAATATAGTAAAATAGTAAGCGTATTGCTAACGTATAAAATATTACTATAATAGTATCTATATAGTTAGTTACTTTATAGTTATTTTAAAGTATTTCTAAAGTTGTTAAATTGGCATTTTCAGTAAAATACTAACGAATAAAATATATGCACCCACTCTTAAAATAAATATAACACCGATAATGCTATTTAACAAGTAAAATAAGCTCTTACTTTAAACATATTGCCGCTCTCAAGTCAAAAAGCATCCATTCTTGGAAATTCCAGTTGGTAAGAACAAAAAGTCGAATATATTTTGAAATTTCTGAAAATTTTGATCTTTTGTAAATGCAAAATTACATCATTTTTAGCAAAGCAGACGTAATGTTGGTGTTATTATGCTGGTCTTTGCATTTGCCCATAATTCTTTGCAAAGTAATATCACGTGAATCCAGCAAGCACGTGACATTCGGTTATCTAAGTTTTATCAAATAACGCAAGCTGCATAATGATAATCACAAATCGATTATTAGAGTATACCCGATGCGTACGTACGTACGCACGCATTTATCTCAAGTTGTACGTATGCACATTATAGTTGCCGTCCAAATAGTTATAACTATTAGTCCAAACTAGTTATAACTGAAATTTTGTCTCAAATCCCATTTCATGCAGTAAGTTCGGGACAAGTTTCACGGCTTTAACTAGTCCCAAATAATGGTTAATACCTTAGAAAGTCCCAAAGTCCCAAACTAGTTAGGTTTGGACGGCAACTATAATGCACATAAAAATTATAATCATCGAGATTTTCATTTAGTTGTTATATTTAATACGTACAGTATTAACTTAAATATAAAAAAATCTTGAAATTAATATATTTAATTTTAATATTAAATTTATCAAATTTTTTATTTTATACTTGGTAATATATTTTAATTTTGTTGTAATTATTTTTATATAATAAACTTAATAAAATTTATAAGATTTGCTCTTTTTTTGACGATCCTGTCTTTGTTATTTTAATTGTAAGTACAGAAATTACATTTATGCTAAATATAATTTTCTATACTATATTCTGTATTAATAAAGACTCACTCAGCATCAAAGCTCAGATGTGATCTGCCTAAGCAGCCAATTTGCTTCATGTTGAATCCTCAACTTTCTGAGGATTTGGTTTCTTCAATTATTAGCATGGGGCTGCTGACCTTGTCAGCATTACCATTTTTTCTTTTTAAGGTTAGTCTATAAGGACCAAACAGACTTAACATGATTCTTGATTAGGTTTTAAATATTTTCTTACATTAGGTTCAGGATTTGCCTCTTCTTTTCTTGGGTTTGTCTTTTTTTCTCTTTTTTTGTAATACTGTTTTTTTAACTTTGGGTCTTTGTGCAAGTCTTTTCTTTTTTTTTAGTTTTTCTGCTTTTTAACTTTATTTATAATTTTTTTTCCTTCCAATCATTAACTAATTTATATTTGAAGTTTTAAACATTTTTCTAAAACCTTTTATTAAATTTCTTTTTGATTATATTAAATACTTTCTGAAGTGTGTTCTTATTTCTTATCTTGTTTTGTATTTTTTTCTTTTTGATAATAAGGCTTTTTATTAGATATTTTTTTGTTTTTATTTTTTTTTTTTAGAATTTTTTAAAAAATAAATTTTTGATCTTTTTTTTGCTTTTAAGTTCTTCTTTTGGGTCTTTTTTCTAAAGTACTTTATAGTCTTTTGACTTACTTTATCTTTAATAATGTTTTATATTGTTTGATATTTTTTTGTATTTGGTAAGGTGGTCTATGTTCTTTGTTTTGTTATTATATATTATATAAATATTTATTTAGAAATTTTAATTTATTCTAGCAAACTAATTAATATAATAATTGATTGTATTATATAGAAAACTAGAAGGTATAATATTACATTAGGTGCATATTAGAAAGTTTCAACTATAACATTTATAAAAAAAAGATTTTTTATGATATTATAATTTTATTCATAATTTTTCTTATTAAACTATCTACTATAATATTTTTCTATTTTGTTAATATTTATAAAAATCTTGTTCAGAATCATTTTATTATTATTTAGCTTTTGTTTTCTTACTTTTTTCTTTGTTTGTTTATTTGCAATAGGGAACTGCTATTCACATTATGGATTTTTGCTATTTGTACTATGATACATGTAGATTACTTGATTTTATTACATAATTTTTTTAAAATATTTAAACTTTGATTAAAGATATATCGGCAACCAATTGTTCAAATTCAATGACAGAACTGTAAAATTTAAATAAAAAATTTTTATTGAATTTGATCAATTAGTTGCCAAGATATCTTTGATAAAAGTTTTGTAAACAATTTTAGTGCAGTTTTTATCACTAGTCAAAAACTATGAATTTGCCCTGGTCAAATTACAATAACATTCAGCAACAAATCAGTTAAATTTTTTAAAATTCAGTAGCTTCAACATTAATTCAACTTAATTTAGTTAAAAATTCAATAACTGAATTTTAATAAAATTCAACTATATTAATTTTTTCAATAATTCAACCTAATTTAGATAAAAATTTAACAACTGAATTTTAATAAATTTGATTATGCCAATTTCTTCAATAATTCAACCTAATTTAGTTTTTTTTTTTTTTTTAATCTTCAAAGGTGAGGCCATGCCTCTATCTTTATTAAAATCCAATTAAACTTCTTTACAAATAAAGATAAAGAAATTACATTATTTGAACTTTATATCTATAAGATACTAAGACTAGAAACTCAGACAGAGCCCTTGCTAACTCAAAAGTTATAGGAGTTATCTGCGACCTAAGCCTACAACCTAATTTAGTTAAAAAATTTGATATCTGAATTTTAATAAAATTTGATCATGCTGATTTCTTCTATAATTCAACCTAATTTAGTTAAAAATTCAATAACTAAGTTTTAATCAAATTTGACTATGCTGATATCTTTAATAATTTAACTTAATTTAGTAAAAAAATTTGATACCTGAATTTTAATAAAATTCAATCAC